CTTAAGATGATAACATTTTATTCATTAGTCAGATCATTTCTGTTTACTCTCAACTAATGAGTAGCGATACTGGACTAGGCAGGCCATTTGTCTGCTCTAGTTTTGGACATTCCTCTTTTGCTAAGGTTTGGCCCCTGTCCAGTATTGAGACAAACTTGGATGTGATTGTGTCTGGTATCATAGAGGGGGGAAAACCATTTTGAATGGCACGCTACCTCCACCTCCCCAGCATGCACCGTGCATATGAGATCACGCCAGCGGGAGTAGGGGGGAGGTGGTCTTCAAAATGGCTTCCTCCATGCAGCGTGATTTCACTTGCACAGTGCACGTGAAGTCATGTCAGCAGGGATAGGGTCACGCCGTTCCTGGAAATATTGGAATGTCCGGTATTCTGGGGATGCGGAAGTGTCCACCCTATACTGGATATTTTAATTATGGGCATTTCTACACTACAGCTGTAAGTCGACCAAAGATAGGTCGACTTACAGCCAGTGCAATAACTACCCTGCTTTTGTCGGGGGTGCGCATCCTCACCCACAGCACTTCCACTGACTGAAGAGGGGCGGGGTGGGGGGTGGGAACTGAGAGTCAAGGCTCTCAGCTCTGTGCAGCTCTCCACTGGGAGTCCAGCTATGCCCTCAGCTCTTGCCTCCCGGCTCTCAAGCGGGAGCAGAGGGCAGCCGCCTGAACTTCTTGGCTTCTGGGAGTGGGGAGCTGGGGGCTGCCAGGCTCTAACTGACCAGCTTTCTTGACAAGACAGCCAACAGCTGATATAAGTAACGCAGTGTCTACACAGACACTGCGTCACCCTAACTACACCGACGTAAGCGCTACGCCTCTTACAGGGGTGGAGTTATGATGTCGGCGTGTAGTAGGGCACTTACATCTGCGGGACAAGGCTGTAGAGTGTACACTGACATAATTAGGTCAATGTAAGCTGCCTTACGTCGACCTAACTGTGTAGTGTAGACCAGGCCTATGCTACCACAAAAGGAGACATTTCGAGATGAAAGTCTGATCAGAATGCAAACTTCCTCCAAAGTTTGGGTGTGTCTGGATTTGTAGCACCCAGTCAGCCCACTATAGAAACTCAGGTCACTAAAATCAGATCTGGATAGGGATTCAGATTCTCCCAAAATACTGGGAAAGACAGGTTCCACATGAATGGTTTCATTCAGCCCAGTGTCGAGATAACCCTGAGCTGGGAAGATTGGCTCCAGTTGCTGTTATTTTATTTAGTTGTAGTGCAGTAGTGCTTAGGAGCCCCCGTTTTGGGCTAGGACCCAGGTGTGCTAGGTGCTGTACAAACAGGATTGCTGGTCCTTCTCTTAAAGCTGCAGTGTTGTGGCTCAGGCCCATTTATAGCAAGAAGACAGCAGCCTCTGGCCTTATCGACTCATTCTGACTTTCATTAGTAGTAAATATATACAAGAATGAGAGTTTGCTCTGCAGCCCTCAGGAACCAAAAGCCTCACCCGCCATAGCACAGACAAACCTCTGCCCTTGCGTACACCCATGAAGCCCCACCGCAGTCCAAGAAACAGTAACCAGTCAGGTTACAAAGCTGTCTGGTTCCCTGTGTTGCTCTGCTGTTTCTATTGTTGTACAGTCACTGCTGTCCACCCTGTCACCTCAGCCAATGAAACCCTGCAATGCAAATGAATGCAACTTGCGGGGGAGAAAGTGAAGCTGACTGTCAAATAAACCCTATAACCGCTAGATTTCAACGGCTTCACTACATTGTCCACACTGTTTTGCACCTACCAGCTACAGAGGCACTGGAGACCAGATAGTAGCTGTTCTCCTGTCGCTGTGCTGTTAGCCTGGCAGCCCTGCCCTGCCGTTTTTGCTTTACTCAAGTTTTATTTTTAGCAGTAGAAACAAAAGAAAAAAAATTCAGCATCCCAGACAAATTTCCCGCAGTAAGTTTACAAAGATTAGTTTAGGTCTATTTTCCAAATAGGGTAAATCTTTTTCACTTTCTTGTTTCCAGCTAAAATATTAGCCCTCGCTAGACAGAAATGACCTCTTGTCATCAGGAAGAAAGTCATGTTTCCATATGAGGTGGCTGTATTAAATTGACAGGAAATGCACATACAATATGTTTTTGATACACTGACTGAATGAACAAACGTGTTGATAAATAAATCAGCCTGCCGTTTCAGCCCACTCCTTTTTATAAAGGAAATGACCCCGTAGAGTCGGTGCCCACTTCTTTCACCTCACTGCTATTTTTAGCAGCAGAGGCTATGAAAATTTCCATTGAAGATCTGCTCCTCTCATTTCCTGGGTAGAGAAAACAGGAAGTCCTTTAAGCTGAGCCTAAGTCGGTTTTGCATGAAACTAGAGCAATCTCACCTCCCACTGGCAGTTTGATTACACTGCAAAGCCTCAGAACCACAACAGAGCTAATAACCTTCAGCTATACAGTTGTTTCAGTGAACTTGCACAAGCGGTTATGGGCAGAAGCTGATATAAGATATGGCAGGTGGAAGTTTAGGCACGAGGAGATAGTAAAAATCCCCTTCGCTGTATAATAGTTTTTTCTAGCATACCTCTGCTTTTCAGTAGGCGCCTCCAACAATCAAATCAAGGTCAGGAACATGAAAGCATATCCTGACTGGAATTAGGAAGATGTGCTAAATTCTGAGGTGTACTGCTAGTGGGATTTCTGTGCACGGAGGGGTAGAACCTACTTTCCCTCTAAATAGGTGTGTAGAAGCCCTGAATGCATTGAACTTAATACTGCTCTGCTGCATCGGTGTGGGGAGTCCAAATCCCGTCTGCAGAATAAAGCACAGATCACTGCACCCTACCGTTTTTTTCAAAAGGGACACTATTATAGTATGAAACACCAGCTGGTTTGTTACACTGGCACTGTGTCTTTTAAGCAGTCCTTGCCCTTAACAGATTCATTTTCTATGGCATCTTAACATGTGGCACTGAATTTTTATTCTATTGTTAGGTTCATTCTCTGATTAATTAAAAAGGGTTCAATGTATTTTGATCTCTTTCTAACCCTGCTTCAGAAAAGCATCTCCTTATTCAGATAGGGTACTGAAGCATGCGCATAAGTTCTTTCCTAAATTGGCATTTCTCTCTCACTCTGTACAGTGGCTTGGGCAGAGGATACATACTGTTTTAAGTGAACTAGTTCCAACAAAAATTCAAGTAGCAGTTCTAAGTTCCCATGCAAAAAGGTGTGCCCGTGATTGCAAGAGCAATTAGAGATGGGCCCATTCGGATCTGGAAATGGATCCAAATCTGAATTTTCACCAAAGATTTGGGGCAAGAAGAGAGTTTGGATCTGATGCTCTGGACTAATCCATCTGTAATGCACCCCCAGTAATTGCAAGCAAAAATTAGTAAGGTATAATCAATTTACACAAGCAGTTGAAGTAATTTTGATCATAGATCTGGGCTTCTAAAATTTTGAATATTTGGTTATTATGATTTTAACAAGAATTTACCAAGAGCGATTGAGAGGCCCATATATTCATAATTATGCACCTTATTTGCAAATGCAATTGCCATGATTCTGAGAGGTTAAACTGAACCCACAAATAGCAAATTCTGGCAAAAATATGCACACATAATTGCTGTGCCAGATACAAATCAGGTAATGTCACCTCCAAATGAGATAGCTACCCATTATCTCCATTTAGCAGTGGAGATATGGCTAGGTTTTGCATCAGTTGTTCTGGCAGGGTCTGATGCCGCTTTGAGTTGGTATGTCCTGGTGTGTGGGGAATTTTCTTCTTCTGCTGAGCTTGGAGGGTTTGGGGGGCTGTCTGAAGGCCAGAAGAGGGGATTCAGGAAATCCTTCCCCCTCCCCACAACACACCTTTCAAATCCGTGGATCCTACATATGCCTATCACTACATGTGGTGTACCTTATCCGGTGCACTAAAAGCCCCAATAACAACTATGTGGGAGTACGCTTCCTAGACCTGAAGAAAAGCTCTTTGTAAGCTTGAAAGCGTGTCTCTCTCTCACCAGCAGAAGTTGGTCTGATAAAAGATATTACCTAATATCCTGGGACTGACATAGCTACAACACTGCATACTACAGTAGAACCTCAGGGTTATGAACACCATAGTTATGAACTGACTGGTCAACCACGCACCTCATTTGGAACCGGAAAAAAAGCACCAGCGACCAAAAAAAAAAAAAAAAGGCAAATACAGTTCTGTGTTAAATGTAAACTACTAAAAAAAGGTGTGTGGGGGGGGTTCTTCTATGTAGTAAAGTTTCAAAGCTGTATTAAGTCAATATTCAGTTGTAAACTTTTGAAAGAACCACCATAACATTTTGTTCACAGTTACAAACGTTTCAGAGTTATGAACAACCTCCATTCCCGAGATGTTCATAACTCTGAGGTTCTACTGTATATTGTAACACATAATGATGTTGTTTTGGGTTTTTGCATAGAAAAGCAAGGAAGGGAGTACACTAATGCATTCTGTTGGTCTTTATTATTAGTCACCAGCACACAATGTCAGGAGGTTAGAGTAATAATTGCATAAAGAGGCATGGAACATGGAAGTTTTATTTCTGTTCTGTAAAGAAAAATACACTATGCGACAAATATGTTAAGGGCCAGATTTTCTGAAAAATACTTTTGCACATGACTTACATGCACAGAATTTTCAATGCAAGCACACAAGTTTGGCATGTGTAAAAATGCACTTCCCAAAATTTGGTGCTTCACTTTTCTAATTTTTCTTACTTCATCTTGGTAAGAATGTCAATATCCACTGACTCTTTGGGACTTTTTGTCTATGAAGCAGGAAAAGAATTATTTTATGCATATGCACATTTTGGTGATCCAGTTGGGAACTGAGTTATCTGAGTGTTTGGGTTTTTTGTTAATAATAGATATGTTATTATAAAATGTCAAGGGGATGTTTGAGACTTAATAGCAAAACCTGCTCAGATTGCTTTGGATTCCCATCACTTTCAGAACATGCTAAATCTCTTTCCCCTTTTTCATTTCACAGTTAATGAAATTATCAGGAAGGAGTTTTCTGGACTCCCTGCCAGAAATCAGACGTAGAAGAAGAGATTTGTGAGACAACTTTTACTGAATCCTTCCATAACTGACCTGTTTAGATCCTTCCACTGCCCCTTCAACCTCCTGCTTCCTTAATCGTTCATCTCAAGGCACCGATTCAATGCAAGGAACAATGTATTGGCATCAAGCTGACAGCCTTGACTAAGCAACTCGCCACCTTTCTCTGTAAACATCAAAAGGACACCCTTCCTTTAGTCCAAAGATTGTATTGTTCTCATATAACACGGTATGTGTCTTGCCTGCTGCAAATATATATATATATATCATAATAATAAGGGAGAAGAAAGGCATCGCTCCAGAGTTCTGTTCTACAGCAAATGTGGTTATATATTAGCACTTAATTAGTTGGGAACGGGAAATAAGGGCAGAGGGAGTGCTTGCATTCTATATAAGATTAACAACACTTTGCATTTAAATAGCAATACCTTTCCATCCAGATCTCAAAGCCCTTTACAAACACAGGTCACACATTATTATTCCCATGTTATCAATGGGGGTAACTGAGGCACCCATCAGTTAAGTGACTTGCACGAGTCATGCCACATCTACACTATGGGTTCTACATTGATGGAAGGTGTTTTTCCATCCCTGTAGGTAATCCACCTCTCCCAGGGGCAGTAACTAGGTCAATGGACGAATTCTTCCATCAACCTAGCTGCATCTATCCTGGGGGTTAGGTCAGCAAAGCTACAGTACACAGGGGTGTAGCCATGTTGAACTAATATTTAAGACTAGACCAGGTCTCAGTCTGATCTGGGAACAGAACCCAGGTTGCCTGACTCCTACGCCTGTGCTCAGCACACCACACTGTAGTTGCCACGTGAATCCAGGACTTTCTTTGTTGTTTTTAATCAGAGCTGATGTGCCTTTGAAGGAGAGGGATGCTTAAAGAGCAATTAAACGTTTCTAATGTACAGCCCAAGTTAAAATAACCCCTGATAAAATGAAGCGGATGCATCTATTGAAGTTACAAAATTCAAGCAGAATTATGCCTGTCAAAAGAATTTGTGATTGACCCAAATTAGTGGTTAGCCAATACATTGACAGCTTTTAATTTTTTTATTCTAATAAAGTGCTGCTGTTTATTTTCATGTAGAACCTGCCTTCAATTCGTAACTGCTCTCATTTAGAAGCCACAACATTTAACCATACAAGCTGCAGGAGAAAGTAATTACATCTAAAAGAAGCCACACATTTATTTGTCTTTTTTTTCTTTTGCTTTGAAAAGCCAGCAGCAATTTACAGAAAGGCTGAACTTCCTTGTTAGTCTAATAAGTTAGCTATGTACGACTTCTAGTGCTAACACATAGTTTGAATATACTGTGCTCATGAAAGTTAATCACAATAAGAAACAGAATATGGATAATATTTGCCATTTGCAGATGCACAGCTAGTAAGCTTGTCAAGTTTCACGCTTTCCATTTTTAGTGTGTTATTGCTTCCCTGCCATGATAAAAAGATATCATACTTGGATAAAGAAATACAGTAAGGGCTAACCATAATATTGCAGCAAATGTAATAATGTAAAAATGTAATAATCTTTTGTTCAATTAATGAAATCAATATCCTTAAAAGTGCTTGTAGGAAATTTGCAGTGCTAAAGATCGCTCTAGAAGGCACACTAGCTAAAGCCTCAAGGGTTTCAAAGCAAAGATTGCCAGTACCCATGTGTCTACATGGTGACAGCATGAATTAGGTTGTATGAAAATATTAGATCAGAAGAACTTCTGTAGAATGTTTGCCCAATGCTGCAAGAAAGATAAATGCATAGACCCCATGGAATAAGTACTGGGTTTGGCACAGCCATTCTTCATGAGTTTTGTGAAAATATATATTTTCTGCCACTAAATTCTACCACTTAAGATATGCAAAGGCTTATATCCTGGAGAGATTTAGTGGATAGCATTTCACTAACTCTCTCCAGGATATAAGCCTTTGCATAGCTTCAGAATGCCTGATTGAGAAATTGACCTCAACCAAAATCTTGGATCTTAAACAACCCAGGATCTTTGGAGTATCTGAAATCAGAATTTTGCAAATGGGAAAAACCAAAAGCCTGGATTCAAACCTTCTTAGGTCATTTAAAGTCTGAGTTTATATCCTGAACAGAATGTTGTGGCTTACTGGAGCCCCTTTCTATTCTTAATCAAAAAGTTGATTAGATAGGTGGCCTGCTCATGAAGTTTGCTGCTTCTTTTTTTCAGGTGGGTCAAACATATACTGCTCATACATGCAGACAGTGTTAGTGTAACACACAGACCAAGCAGGAGCATTTCTTTCAGTTGGAAGGTATTCTGCTTTGTACGATTAGAAGCTTTTTCAGAAGGTCGTTTTCCCATATGCCATTTCAGCAATACTAAATGTGACTATCACACAATACTGCCAGCAGTGGATGTTTCAGTCTGCCATTCAGATAGCCAGCTACACATGCTCCATCTGTAAATAATACAACAAAAGGTTCAAGTCCTGGTCCTGTACCCAGTGAAGTCAATAGACTTTTTGCCATTGGCTTCCATGGGAGCAAGCCTGGGGCTTTGAATATGATGAATTAAAAATGACCTAGATGTAGTGGAATTATTGTATATTATTCAACAACTCTAGGTACTATGTTTTAATATGTTTAATTTCCTCAGAGACTTGCTTTAATAATGCAGTGTACCATGAGATATTTAAGATCTCTGGTTCTTTTTAAGGCAGATAAAGTTCCAGGCAAAACATCCAATTGTTTTGAATTGTCTTGGTTCTCAAGGAGCAAAGTCATCTTGCACAAGTTGTTTACTTCAGCTGACTTTACTTGAGCAAGTGTGTAGTGAGTTTTCCAGTTTTACACAATTTTGGCATAAAGTAATTAAAAGCTACCATAAAAATTACTTGGCAGATTTGTTTTCCCGTATGGACTCTCTTCTTGTTGGATTTTAATAAGCAGCACAAAGAAATATGTGAACTAATTATTTTGTTTACATAATAAATTGGCTAGATGGCATGTTCTAAAAACACTGCAACTCATTAAATGATAGTTTAAAAATAAAACCCCAAGAAGGGACATGTTTTCAACAGCATTATACACACAAATGCATGCCTGACTTGGACAAGTATATGGGGTAACTGCACACACAAATCCACTAGAAACCTTGGTCATCTCAACATGCAAGTACCCAAATGAAATGTGAAATCATAGTACATGTGTTCCCATTAAGTGTGCCTACCTGTTCTGGCACTGCCCCTAAATTATCAGTTGAGCATCCTGCATCATTTCCCCATTTTACATATTAGGCTTTTCTTACCATGATACATAAATGTATAAACCAAACAGGAACTAAGGTTTTCATCCTTACAATGTGACACCCACGTGGAGTTCCACTGAAGTCACATTGCAGGATTTGCCTGTTAAACATGCTCTCTCTCCTATTTTGGTGGAAGACTTGTTTTGTTTTTAAATCCATTGATCTTACGTTTTCCTTCAAGAGCTAGGCTGCGGAGGGTGGGATAGTAATTTTTATGTGCTTCAAGGGTTCTAGTGCCGCTTGCATTAAGCTGGATGCTTTTCTTCCTAAGTTTAACACATAGCTAATTAGATGTATTTGTGTATGAGCATATACACACATATGTTATATACTTGGGTTGCAATCCTGCAACTGGCACCAAAGGGACAGAACACTGCACCCGCATGATGTCAGCTAAAGGATCAAGGCTCTTCGTACATGTATATAATATAGACTACATTTTAGTGGTTTTATTTACAGCTACATGAAGTCTGCCTATACTACTGTATCTGCTTTTCATCATTTTACATGCAAAACATTCGATAAATAATATAGTCTTAACTAACTTCATATTTATTTCTGGAGAGAGGGAGGAGGATCCTAAGACACAGCGTTATGCAGTTTTGTCTCTTAAAAATGTTATAGCTATGCTGAATAGCTTCAAAATATATAGTACTAAATTATTTCCTTTTTTTTTTTTTTGCTAAGCAGTGTTTTTCCAGTATTAATATTGTTACATAAATAAAAATTGCTCTCTTGCTCTCTCTGTAGAAACATTAGGTTCACCTTTGAAGAGTTAATAGCATTTGTGAGTAATTTGTTCTCACTTTATCTGGAAAATAGCCATATTTGCACATGAGGAAATTCTGTCTTTCCTCAGTTATCTGAATGTTTCACCACAGTGCCTTCCTGCTATTGTACCAAAGGCCCTCCAAATATAATGTCTGCAGGGTGAACAACTCTAATGTGTTTTCCATCAATGTTATACCATGCTAAGTACATGGGGCTCATTGTAACTCAAAGTGCGTCTAGCTGTCTTTTTTCCCCCCCCCACACTTTTCCATCATAGCTTTGGCTGCAAATTACAGGATGCGCTTCTATAAACTGTTGCATCAATTATATAAATACATAAAATAAAATAATCATTCTTGATACATAAAGAGTCCGAGAGCGTAATGGGAGTTGACAGCTATAAGGAAGATTTTATGTCAGTTACAAATGTTGTAAGTAAAGTTTGCCAGGGGAGTAATTGCTTGTGAAGAGATTTGCAATGAAATATGCAGCTCAGTTTTGTTTTTCTCCATGAGAATGAGCAAACTGTAAGATCTGAACAGCAGCAGTGGATTGAAAGTGTCTATTGTATGTGTTTTTATTGGTAGAAAGAATGTAGAAGAGCCATGTTTTTTGCACTTGCTTTATTTGTATCCATGTAAATATGTATTACTTCATCCTTCTTGTAGGAATACACCATTTTCTGAATGTAGTATATTTCCAAAGACAGCACTATGTTATTCTCTATTGTATAAAAATGCTGCTGCTTGATAATATATCTAAAACAGTTCTCAAAATTAGCTAGCATGTTTTTTAATATATTTTGTAATCGATATCTTAAAAAATAAAAGTGTCTATGCTTTTTATCTGCCCCAAATATGCAACATCTTTTGCATTAGAAATGGTATTTATAAAGGATTGTTTTGCATTTTTTCCAAGTGGATTAATTTCTCTATGCATTTGTTATTGAACTTTTTCCCCATAAGATAAATGATTTCAAGTTGGTATTTGATAAGTGTTCCAAAGACTCCAAACATGTTTTTGAACACACTATTTTTCAAAATACTTCAATGTGACTTGTTTTCCAATGAATCAGTTTCCAAATTGCTACTTATCACAGAACAATTGTTTCTTACATGGATTCAAGAAAATGTCTGTCTAAATTTAAGATATAAAACTGGGTCAAACCTGGTGGTGTTTGACCCATTTTAAATTATCTGATGGTCCAATTT